AGGCAAATAACTCAGTGTTAGATTGTAAAAAAAAACAAAACAAGCAGTGGGTACAACAGTGAGGCAGAAACGACAGATTCAACTGTAAAATCAGATATACTGTAAAAGATAAACAGGACGACTTTGTTGAAACCTGGTATCCTTCCATCACTTACTTGGAAAGAGATTATGATCGTAATAGCTGTTGCGTGTCCTGGTGCATTCACAGTGCCCATATTTAGTGGAAAATCCATGTTCTCTTATAATCCTTTTTTTCTTGCAGTTTGTTTTTGTTTTGTTTAACTGTGTGACATATTCTGAGAGTAAGAGTAACAACTGGGATATAATAATGAAAATCCTAGAATAAAGATGAACTTGGCATGAGAATAAAGCTGTATTAACACCTCAGACCCTAGTGGTTGTAATATTTTCTGTACATCTGCACCATTGGTGCACAGTTAGTATCTGCTGTATGCTATTGTAGAGCCATATATTTGACTCTCTGTAGGTCCGGCTTTACTTTTTAATAATAACAATTAAACAGAGTCTGAGTCTTCTAAAGAAATATGCTGTTTTACAGGGTCTAAAGTTCCCGTGGGAGAGTGCTGTGTCAGGGAGAGAGGTGTGTCCAGAGGACATTTATGGACAACAAGAGATTCACATCAACGGAGATGTCACATTGGCTTTCCAGCACTATCTCTACCTCACCGAGGTATGCTCGTTCACATCCCCACTCACTGTCCCTCCTACCTGGCGTTGTTAATCTAGCTCTTTGCTTTAGGATCTGTCCATGTTCAGAGAGGGACTGGGCAGCGAGGTCATCTATGGTGTGGCTGATTACTGGGTTTCAAGGGTAACCTGGAAGCCCGAGGACCAGAAATATCACCTAGATGGTACTCAACCTCGTCACGCCAAATAAATTCAGTGCATCAGTTACCCGCTTTAATGAAAGGATCTTACTCACACTTTGGTTTATTTTATATTGAACGTTAACTTCATGTTGTTTCCATTCAGGTGTCATGCCACCCGATGAATATTACTACAATGTCAATGACTCTGTGTACACAAACACAGTGGCCAAGCTTGGGTATTTGTATTCAAGATTAAACTTATAACTATAACACCTTATAACTTATGTCTTATCAATACCAGTAATAATGAAAATATCTTATTTGTCTTCAGTCTTCAGTTTGCTGTTGAACTGGCTGAACTCCTTCAGCACCCTGCGCCCAAGGAATGGCAAGCAGTGGCCGAATACATTAAGATACCTTTTGACGAAGAGCATCAGTACCACCCTGAGTACGACGGCTACATTAAAGGTTAATATTTGTTTCTGTTAAGAAAGAACCTTAAATATTCTTAACTTGATGCTAGAATATCCTCTGGGTGACAAACAGGGCATCCCGTGAAGCAGGCGGACACAGTGATGCTGGGATATCCTCTTGGATTGCCGATGTCCCCAGAGGTTAGAAGGAATGACCTTGAAGCATACGAGCCAGTGACAGACCCTCACGGTCCAGCCATGACATGGGTATGAAAGACACAGCATCCTCTATGGTCACATGAAACTGCTGAATGAACTAAATTTGAGGTTTGTTGAATCTGTGTCAACAAGAATTAACCTCCTTGGACCTGACACTCACATATGTGGACATCATATTTTGTCCCAATAGCAGAAAGAAATTAAAAATGCATGCCATGAAAGAGTTTGGGTCTTAGGAGGTTAAAGTAGTTATTAAGACAAAAGAGGATCCAAATCAGTACTTAATGTACTTAATAAGAAGTCTTACTTCTCACTGTGGTGCAGTGACTGACTTTTGTGTTCATATTTGAATCAAAACTTTTTACTTTCCTTTTTCAGGGGATGTTTGCAATCGGCTGGCTGGAGCTCGGGGAGGCTGAGAAAGCTCAGCTTTTACTTGAAAAGTGCTTCAACAACATCCAGGGCCCGTTCCAGGTACCCTTTGGCTCACACATCCACATAAACACACACCTGACATTTACTGGGTGAAAGATTGATTACCTTTCCTCGCAGGTATGGAGTGAATCATCCGATGGCTCCGGTGCAGTCAACTTTCTCACAGGTATGGGAGGATTTCTGCAAGCTGTGCTGTTTGGCTACACCGGTTTTAGGTTAGTTCTTAATCCAGGAAATAAACACTTCGGTGTGTTCAGTCCACAGTGTGTTCACAGTGATACAAAGCTTCACATACTTGTTTTATATCCTAGAGTTCAGAAGGACTGCCTGGCATTCTCGTCACTGCTTCCCAACGACGTCTGCGAGCTTTGTGTCCGTGGTGTGAACTACCTGGGCAGCCAGATGGACTGGCTGCTGAGGAAGGAAGAAGTCTGTATCATACTGAGGGAACAGGAAGGCAGTCCAGGCAATACTAAGCCCTGTAATTTACAAGTTGTCCTGAAGGCATCAGGAACTAAAATCCCCCTCACACCAGGTAAAGCACAAGTTCAAACATGCAGTTTGAACATGCAGTTCTTCAGAGAAAGTTTTATTCATGAAGATAATTTGATAGTTTCTATGTTAATAAGAGACAAACACTTCTCACAGTATAGCAAAAAGAAATTATCATTTAACTGTTTATATGGGGACACAATATTGATAGAAGTGAAAAACATATGAATCTCATAATCAGGGAAAAAACTTCAAGACTGTGATCTTCTCCAGCTTACCTTATCTAGGCTGGAAGTGATGTCAAAAAATAATGTGTGGGGCATGAACTCAAAAGCATAGCCTGCCAGAAAAAGATTTGAAACCGGTGTGCATACCTGAACCTGATCCAAACTTGTATACGTCTATATTTTCAGGGCAGCCGGTAACTTTCCCTCGAGAGCCCGGATACGTTTGCAAACTGATTTCAGCTGCTTCCTGCTGGCCTTTCTGAAACCTGAGCACCGATCCTCCGAAACATTTCACATGCTGACAGTTGAAAGCATATTATTTGTTTTTATTATATTTTGCTTGATTTACTAAATGTATGGAATAAAGAAGGGCAGTATTAATTTAAGTCCCCCAGCAGCTACGGATCTGAGCAGGGCAACAAATACAGTACTACACTGATGGATTTGTGTAATATTTGTGGACTTTTAAAGTTAATTAAAGAAATACAGAGAAACTTTGAGTCTAAATTACTGAGTTATTGAAGTTTGTGATGTCAAAGGAAATATGATTATCAGAGTTATTATAATTACGTATTTTTATTTAGTGTTTTTGTTTTAGTTTTGAATCTCTTCCTTTCACTTTAGTTCAGAGCAGCTTTGACATTTGAGTTTAATCTTTGTATATTTTTTATATTTTATGTATGCTAATTGTCCTTGATCAAGATGGGACTCACCAGGCACCGCATTGTAACAATATTATCACTTGATTTAACTCATGATATGATACTATAGCAATTTTAAACATTTTGTCATATGCAGAGTATTGCAGTAACATTTACTGTGATTTACCAACTGGAGTATTATCAGAATACAAGCTGCTGGCAGCCAGTTGAGTCGAGTCCCCTCGAGTTTGTTTGTTAATCAAGACTCAGACATCTGGAGACTGATGGCAACATGTTCGCCATCTGTCTGCATTTATAAATTAGACAGCAATTATTTGCAGACCTTCAGCAATCTGTCTGACAGTGATTGCAGTCAGTCCAACTCAGACTGCAGTTGTTTGCAGGAATGCATAATGTGATCAAATTAAACAAATCACCAGCCATCAATTTCTTTTATAGGTTTAAGGAGGTTGGTGTTTAATTTTCACTCATGTGACCAAGCCAATACCTTGAATTAGGAGATAGACTGGTCAAACTAAGTGTATAAAGTGTAGGATGTTGTTTTGTTTAACTGATTTAATGTAAATTTGCTCTTCCAAGGTTCCTCAGGAGATGTGGTGCGTGAAAAGGGCCCTCCTTTCTGCAGTGTTTGAAGAGTATTTTAATTTATTTGAAGAGATATAGATATTTGGTGTCTTTGTATTGATACATTATCACCGTGTAAAATATTGTGACACTCCCTAGTGTCTCTCTACTTGGGGATAATGAATACTTGCACCATCTCCTTTGACTACATTAAGAAAAGACTAATTTAGGGAGTAAGTTTTAGTGAACTATGTTAATTTGCCTGACACTAAGCACATCCACACTTTTTAATGGTGACTGTTAGATGATTAGAATTGTAGTTAGATATGCCATGCAAAAAAGCAAAACACTAAACAACTTACAATAATTAAAATGCATTATAGACTTTTATTTATGACTGGAAGGATGAGGGCACAAGAGTATATACACAATGCATTTCTGTTTACTTTGACTTACAGACTACCACGACCTTTGTAAGATTCATGACTTCAAGCATCCTGTAGCTTTGCTTCCTGACAGGAGAAAACTATTTCAGTCTGCAGGGGGGGAAAAATCCAGAGGAAGGTCATCACTGTTTACTTGAAATACAATTGTGTCGTCTTCTTGATTTAGGCACACTAGAGTGCTTGTGTTGTGTGTGCTTGCGACCCTCTACCCTTTAATCGTCAAATCCCCTGTGGTAAACTATTATATAATCCAACACCATCTAGAGTCTTAGGTTTTTCTGATAATGAGCACATCCACACTTTCCATCCAGATGTTTACTAATAAGAGCCAGCCGAACTCTAAACCCACAGTTTCCAAGCGTGATTTTAAATAATAAAAAGAAAAAAGAACGAAACAAAGAATAAAATACATTTTTCTAAACTGGTCCACTTTGGTTATATTGCACTGTCATTCCTGCATGTTTGAGTGCTGGAGGGGCGGACCACGACAGATCTCCGATTGGTCCATTTAAATCTGGGCAGCGCAGTAACTCCGCCTTGAACGTCTGCTCGGGTTCGCACGATTTGAGTTCTCGTGTCACGAATTTCGGCACTCCGCCTCATTCCCAGCTATTCTGACCGGGGTGAGCTCCGCCCATCCAAATATTCCAATCCACAAATCGAACGCCTCCCGGGGACACAGCGCTTCATGATTGGCTGGAGAGGTTTGAACAAGTTATAAACGGTTTCAGCGGGACAGTTTGTAGGGTCGCTGTTGTCTTCTTGGGTATTCATTAAAGTGGGAAGCTCCTCGTTTGAGCAAATTTGTCTTTTACGCAAGTATACAATTGATGTAGCTTTTTAAAAGAACGAGCCGTCAGAAAAGTGAACATCAAAGGTAAATATTTTGACATTATAGACAATGTTAGCTAAGGTCATCAACGTTAGCTGGCAAACGTGGTACTTTTAGGACACGGCAGAGCAGCTATCAGTAAAACGCGATAAAGATGTGTTATATTATGCGGATGTGTCTTAAAATTACTGTTGCAACAGTCTTACAGTAGTATTTAAAATAATATGCGTGCACTGTCTTAAGTGTCTTGTGTTAGCTAACCTAGCTTGTTCATTTGAAAACGTTGTTAATTTTGTTCACTTCAATACATTATTCAGTGCTTTTGGAATATTTAGCTCATGTAATGATGCTATTTTTATGGTATCTCAACATGCCAGGTTTGCAATAAGATATTAAAAACAAATCTCTTGGTCGACAACACTGTTAAATACCCACCGACCTTAATTGTCATATAGTGTAGTCGCGGAAGTGGAAAACTGCACTGTTCAAGTTTAGTATACGTTATCAGGAAATCCCACACATTAGTTAGTCTAATATTACTTGTATTCTTTGCACAGCTGTCCAAAGGTTAAAGTCTTATTGTAAAACGTTTTATTCTATAAAACAGTTTTTTAACAGGAACGATAGATAGATAGATATTGGTTATTGAGATGAAAAAATGGTTAGTGCGTTAATCCTTTTAAAGGAACTCCGGGGTTTCTTTTTAAGCACATTTGGTTCGGATATTACCCGTGTAATACTTACATTCAGTGGCCACTTTGTTAGGTACATCTTGCTAGTACTGGGATGGACCCACGTTTGCCCCCAGAGCTGCCTTAATTTTTTTTATAGCATAGATTCAACAAGATGCTGTAAACATTGCTGAGAGAGCTTGGTCCACACTGACTTCAAAGCATAACACAGGTGCTGCAGATCCATGATGTGAATTTCCTCTTCAGCAACATCACTAAGATGCTCTACAGGTTTGAGATCTGTTGCTTGTTTGGCCGTTTGAGTGCAGTGAACTCACTGTCATGTGCAAGAAACAAGTTTAAGATGAATTTAGCTTTGTGACCACTGTCAGAAGAGGAGTACACTGTGACCTTAAAAGCATGGAAATTGTAAGCAACTGGTAACGGGGTGAAGTGTGGCGAGAAAATATCCCCCATATCCTCACCAGCCTGAACCATCAATGGATTTGTGCTTCCAAGTTGTTTTCACAAGATTCTGACTGTATCATCCAAATGTTGCAGCAGAAATTGTTGACTTATCTGATCAGGCAATGGTTTTCCAGTCTTCTTTTGTCCACTTGTGGTGATCCAGTGGAAAGTGTCACCTCTGTTTCCTCTTTGTAACTGACAGGAATGGCCCCCTGTAGTCTTCTGATGTTGTACGGCATCTGCTTTAACACTGAATGAGTTGGGCATTGAGAAATTTTTTTTTCTTTTTTTTTTTTTTTGGTTTGTTTTTGTATTTATTTTTTTTTCCCCATGTCGTAATTGTAATGAGTGTTTATTTGAGTTACCTTTGCCTTCCCATCACCTTGAACTAGTCTGGCTAGCCTCTTCTAACCTCTGGCATCAACAAGGCATTGTCACCTAGAGACCTGCCACTCACTAGATAATTTCTCTTTTTCAGGCTATTCTGTTCTTCTTTCTATGTTAGGAGATCTCAGTAGATCTGCAGTTTATTGAAATACTCAGACCAGCCATTTTTCACCGATTGACATTTATTATAATATTGGTGCATTTTATTTATTGGTGTGTCATATAAAGGAATTAAATATGTCGTCCTAAAACTGATTTAAAAAAATCAAAACAAAAACACTACAAACAAGAACAAAGAAAAGAAATGCAAAAAATATTGAGACAATGAGAAGGATTTAAAAAAACCAAACATTGCTGCATATGAAACATTTTTAATAAGCTATTTTGAAAAGGACATTTCAAACGCTGATGGTGCCCCATTCAATGAACTAAGTAGATTCCCCAGCTGCATTAGGGCTTCATAAGTCCTTGAATAAGGTGATTTAATGCTTTAAAGGGTATGGGTAAAATTTTAAGATTAGTAATTATTTTCTCAGCTAAACTGTAGCTGATGCTCCGTGTGGGGCTGCTTGAAACTAAGGTGACTCTTAACAGCTGATCCATAATCTTGGAGAGGGGAGAAGGGGCTCCACTGCAAGGGAAAAAGAAAGCAAAATCATAGCAAAAACTAAAGGTTTTCAATTTCCCCCCCCAGTTCAAAACTGGTGTTTGGGAGGTGACTGTACATAAGCATGATTTGGAAAAATTGCATTTTCCTCTCTTTGATAATAATGTACTGAAGCTTCAGTACATTACATTTTTTCCCCCATATCAATTTAACCTCACTTAAAGAAAAGACATATTTTTAGGAGAGCCCTGCTGATTTTGGCACTAAAAAAGATAAAAATGAGTCTTTTTTTTTTTTTAATACCCCTGTAAATTGGGTCTTAACTATTCTTGTGATCTCAGAACTGTCGGCTTTTTGTGCCTCAGGTCGTCACCATGAACCCTGTCCTATCAGTGCTATCCCTCACGCAGATGTTAGGTGGCAAAGCACAAGACATCATCGATGAAATCGATAATGTCCACATGGTTTGGCTTGAGGAGATACAACAAGAAGCCAATCGCATGTTCTCAAGGTAGGCTATAAATATGTTCTTCTATGTAGCTCTACTCTATAGATGTGTTTAATTTTTCTCTAATGGAGTGCTTTCTTTTCTTTGTTTCAGAGATTTTAATGCTGAACCAGAGTTGATGCCAAAAACGCCGTCACAGAAGAAAAACAGTCGCAGGAAGCGTGTGTCTTTGGGTCGCCAAGAAGAAAATCAAGGAAAGCAAAGGTTTGTTTTATCAGTTCCTGGTTTTAGTGAAGGCAGTCTGAAGCGTGCTGTACCTTTTTTGTAACTCTTACGTTATCCTTTCCTGCTTAGATACTCAAAGGGAAGGCGCAGTAACCTTCGTGGCTCTTCTGTTAAATCACTGCAATTCACTGCTAAAGAGGATCCCATTTCTGAGGTCTCCACCTCTGACACCAGCAGCACTGGACAGTCCAAACGCACCACTCGCAGAAACAAACAGACAAAGCCTGAGGTGGTAGATGATGAGAGCCAGTCACCTCATGACAGCGATAAAGCTGAAGAAGTGCAAAACAAAACGCAGATGCTGGAGGAGGAGGAGGAGGAGGAGGAGGAGGTGGTGGTTGAAAATAAGGAGGTGAATGATGCTAAAGTCAAACCAAATGACACAGTTGGCAACGCCACACCTCCTGAGTCTCTTAAGATTCCCTTACCTGAAGCCGTTGTCAGCATCTCTCATGCAGACCGCTTGTCTGCTGAGCTTGCAAAAGAGCCTGAGCCCTCTCCTCGTACAGCTGCTAAGATTGCAATAGCTGAATCTGCTCAAACCTCAAGGCGAAGCTCTGTGCAGTGCTCCCTGAAGCTACGTCACTCTCTGGCTGGCCTGCGGCACAGTATGACTCAGGAATCTGTCCGCCGTGCCTCGCGCCGCTCCATGCTTAAGAGGAAAGCTACTCGTGCGGGTAACTCCACATGTAGCACCAAAGTTAGTGGTAAGAAAAGGACTAGTTTGCTTATAATTACTTAATTTCCCAATTATTAAAGGGCTGTTTGAAATGTTTGACTTTTTATTATTGTAGATGACTCTTGCGTGGAGGAGGAGGAAATGGAGAGGGAAAACCAGGAAGTGTGAGTGTTATTTTAAAAAAAGGATATGGGAATCGTAATGATATGGTTTTGTAACAGAGCTTTAAAAAAAAAAAAAAAGTTCTGAATGGTCTTCTTGAATCTACTGATCCTTAAACTAAATCTTTACCCAAAGCCAATAAGCACGAAACCTAGGAGTGATGTTGGATTTAACTTTAGGGCTCATGCAGCTGAGGGTGGTAGACATCTCATTGTCACGTTCTGTGATCAACAGATGCCTTCATGAATGTAAATGCACAAAGTTGGTACAAGATGCAAACTACAAATTATGCTCAAGAACAGGAAGCCCACATTAGACTTTGCCAGAAATCATCTAAATGAGCTGGCTCAGGTCTGGAAAGAAATTCTTTGTACAAGTAGAAACAAGATAAACTTGTACCAGAATGATGAGAAGTAGAAAGTATGGAGAAAGAGGGAAACCAAACTGAAGCATACCATATTATCTGTCAGACATGGTGGAGGTAGTGTTATCTCATGGGCCTAATGTCTGCCAGTGGAACCAGGTCATTTTTTGATGTGTTTATTGATGAAGTAGCAGGATGAACTGTGACATGTACAGGGCTGTGCTCAGACTCAGCCTAATGCTGCAAAACTAAAAGTGAAAACTAAAAAGCTGTAATTCCCAAGCAGTTAAAGTAAAATCTTTGTTAAACCCCCTGCATTAAAGCTGAAAGTCTGCACTTCAATCACATCTTATTCGTTTTTAAAAATCCACTGTGGTTGTGTACAGAGCAACAACATGTCTCATGCGCATCACTCGTTCCGTGGCTGCAAACTCACCCAAACTGGCGCCCCCATCATTGTTTATCAGTGAGATGACTCCTAACCGAGCAAGTATGGAAACTATTAACAAATACAATATATATATATATATTTTTTTAAGTCTAAATGTCATTTCATTTGAGACTTATTTGCACTGAAAACATTGTTTTCTTTCAGTTGTCACTGAGAAGCTGAATTTGCTGCCAGTTCGGAGGTGGGTGCTATATGACTGCTGTGATAAAGAGCACATTTACAGGAAAAACTAAATGAATTGTGTTTTTATTTATTTATTTCTACCTGTGTTGTGTGGGGGTTTTTTTGTTTGTTTGTTTTTGTTTGTTTTTTATTAATTAATTAATTAATTTTTTTTTTTTTTAAAGGTCAAGTCGCAGCACTAAGCGTAAAGCACCTGATACTATAGATGAAAGTCCGACAAAGAGGTGCTCTCCTCCCAAGAAAAGTCAAAGTGTAAGAAGCTCTTAATATGGTTGATGGACATTTTCATGTTTTAAGTGGATTTCTTAAGGTTTGACACTTTCTGTTTGCTCTGGATGAACAGGCAATCAAACCCCACATGAAGTCTTTTCTGCACACCGTCCAAAAGAATCAGATGCTGATGATGACTCCGAATTCAGTCGGCCGGACCGCAGTGATCAAGTCCTTCATCAAACACAACACTCCTCTGAGGATTGATCCTAAGGTAGGCTTCAAACGCTGCAAGGTAGCATTATTTAATATGTACCAGCTTCTCTCCACATGCTCGGTATAGTCAGTGTTGCAGTGAATTTAAAGTTGCATTCAGTCACTTTTAATCTGACTAATGTGAAAAGGTCCTTTCATCAGTGAGCATCCCATAAACCTAAATCTTGTATGTATTTGAGAAACTTATGGGAGCTTAAAATGTGGGGGGACAAATAAAAACAAAAAAACACACTTCATAAATGTTGTGGGTCATATTTGTGGTCTGGTATGAATTATGCGGACCTTATTTGGATGTGCTTTCTCCTCTCCTCAGTTCAACACTAGCATAGTGGTAAGTGTAATGTCAAACATCGAAGCACTTTGTTTTTGGGCATTGCTGGTGTTTAATATTCCCGTTGTGTGACTTGATTAAACTTGTACTCATTTAGCACTTTCCCCATCCAAGCCTCTTTCCCACTGGCATGACATTTGGGTGTTTTAAATAAAAAGTCAAGTACTAAATGTAAAGGTGGACTCTGTGCTGCACTTTCTATGGGCATGAGATCGACCTGCATGTAAACAACCTGAAGCTTATCAAATGCATTTGTTTCACAGCGGCCGTGTGTGGAAGGGGCTGCTCTGTAAACATTTCATCAGCCTGATCTCACGGGTCACTAATGGTCTTTGTTTGTCATGTTGTAAGCTAACAGAAATCAAATCACTTTAAATAGCTTTGGTAATCTCAGTGTTGTCTTTGAGACATTATTTCATCATAAAGTAGAAATCCATCTTAACCTAAGCTTTTTATTTATTTTCTTTTGAATGTGATTGACCTGTTTGTGGATTAAGATAAAACTGGGGAAGTATATCGCACAGTTACTTTTGGGATTTGTACAGTGCTGTGTTTGTGCACTTGGTGGTTTTTCCCTCATGGCCTTCTTAATGCATAGTTTCCTTATTTTAATCTGCACATTTGATTTAACTGAACCTTTTAGAGACCATGAAACTGTCATTTTGGATGGATTTTTGTAGGGGGCCTTCTCTCCCCCCCCCCCCCCTTTTTTTTTTTTTTTTTTTTTAAATTTTATGATTGTTTGCCACCTTTTCACCTTACAGCATCTTGATCATATTTCTTTGTGACAGGATGAGGTTTTTATTTGAAAATCTACTTAATTTGTAACCTCTTTGTTCTATATTCTCAGACAAAAGAGCGTAACAAACTTGAAGCACTTAAAAAGAAGCAGGAGCAAGAGGAGGAAAGGATGAGGAAAATGGAAGAGGATAAGAAGAGGAAACAGGAGGAACTTAAAAGGTTAACCATGCACATATTTCAGAATCAAAGGCACAACTTAAATTTCTTTTAATTAACTTCTAACATCGTCTTCTAGGAAGAGGGATGAGAGGTTAAGAAGAGTCGTTGAGGCCAAAGTAAAAGAGGAGCAGAGGGAGGAAGAGAAGAAGAAGAAGATTGAGCAAAAAATGGCTCAGCTTGATGAGAAAAATGATAAGGTATGCAACAGCTCTGTTGGGCCTGAATCTGTATATTCCGCTTTAAAAGAAACCAACTCACATTTGCTCGGTCTTTCCCATTCTACACATTCATGCAGCGCGTGGCGGAGGAGAAGGCCAAGAAGAAAGCGGCCCTGAAGCGTCAAGAGGAGCTAGAACAGAAGAGGAAAATGGAAGAGGAGGCCAGAAAGAAGAAGATTCAGCAGGTTATTTGCTTTTTGTGGAGTATTGGCACTACAGCTCTTGTGCAGAGGGTTAAAGGCACTATATTTTCTTATACTGCATGCATGTTTGTTTGTTAAATCAGGAGGAAGAAAAGCGACAGCAAGAGTTGCTGGCCAAGAAGAAAGCTGAGGAAGAGGCTCGTAAAGCTCTCGAGCTGAAGAGGGAGCAAGAACGCGAGAGGGAAAGGGAGCTGGAGAGGGAACGGCAAGCTGCTGCGGAAAGGTCATATGATGATTTCAATACTTCTCACAGTATACAGGAATGCAGAAGAATAATATGTGGTCCTGATTAAACAAGAGCATATATTAGTACTGTTAGGTTTTGATTGGCTTTTCTAAGAATCCACTAACTGTAACGTTTTTTTCCTCTTAAACTGAAAATGTATCCCCAAAAAAAGAAAGGACCGGGGTCTTTTCTCTTGTTTGGCTATACAACCAGTCTGCTCCATATTATAAATGACCCCGCTGCCAATTTAAGGACACCTGTTACTTGGGCTTATCAGATAAAATATATCCACAGTTGTTAACATTAACAGTCACCGTTACAAATATAACTCCAGATGTTTAGCTTAAAAGGCTATTGTTAACTTTAGTGCTAAGAGCTGTGGTGGCTCTGATATCATCCTGCTGCACTGGAAACTTTTTGCTCTGCAAAGTAGGACTTAATGTGAATTTCAAATGATTAATAAATTTCTCACTTTCCAAACATCCATAAATTGTCCTTTATTACTCTCTGTCCCTCACAGATGGAAACAGTTAACAGGAAACTGTGATCAGTGATGTGGAGGAGTAGTGTATATACAAAACACCATACCTAACATACCTAAAGTGTTAATTACCTGAAATGACAAACAAAAAAGATTGTTAAAGCCTGTAAGAAAAGGATGTGATTTCACTCCAGGTTTTGTTTTTGGATTTTGTTTTTAAAGTTGATGTGATGTTTGTGCTTGCAGACAGCGAGTGGAGAAAGAAAAAGCTCTTGCTCTGCAGCGTGAAGTTGAGAGAGCAGCGAGAGAGAAAGAGATGAGGGAACTCGAGGAGAAAAGGAAGGCACTCGAGGAAAAAAGAAAACTGGTAAGAAACGGAATTTTAAACAAAACTTGATGTTTGAGCACTCGCAATAGTTACTCCTAATAAGAGAAATAAAAAGTGAGTGGAATTCCCCATGTTTGGGCTTGATATTTAAAAACAAAAAATAGAACTTGATTCAGATGATTAGGAAACATGGGTGTGAATACCCTGAAATTAAAGATGTGAGTCTGTGCGTTGTTGTTGTTGTTATTAATAATAATAATAATAATAATAATATTAGCAGCATTATTAAATAAAAGGACTAGATGTTACAATCCCTGATGATGCATATTACAAGCACCATTTTAATTGGCCCAAACTATAAGGTATTGGTCCTAATGTGAACCTGTGGTGGTGTTTGTTTTTTCTCTGTGGTGTATGTACCAATATGTGTTATTGCTGGGTGCTTTCCCAGCAAAGAAATGTGATGCAGCATCACAGTTCACTTGTCAGTGGCTTCAGTATTTCAGCTCATTTTTGTATGTGGCAGAGAAAATTACTTCAGGTACTTTCAATTTAGCAGAGCAAAGGAAATCAGATTTACTTCAATGTTTAGTCCTAAAGTACTGAACGGTGAAAGTGCACACACATAATCAGTGTGGCAGAAACATGCAAGTCTGTGGCTTTCTTGCATTTGATGTCATGGTCAGTGAGGTATGTAAAGACTGCAGCAGGTTCTCCACTGTCTATGCTAGAGCTTCTCGTTCACGGTGTTTGATGGGGATCCACTTCAGCAGATGTTAATTAGCAGGACTCTTTCAGGAAATGACTCGGAAAGTTTTCTCTTCTCATAAAAACTCAACACGTGGTAATCTCATTAACTTAATGTATGAGGACGTCTGTCAGCAGCTGTTTGTGACTGCAGCTGCTCAGCTGTCTGGTTTTTCTTCCACTAGGAGGAGCAGCAAAGGCTGGCAGCAAAAGAGAAAGCTGCTAAAGAGCTGGAAGCTGCTAAGCAGAGGGACGCTGCTGCTCAAGAGGCTGCTAAAACACAGGTACAGCAAAACCTTCAGTTCATCGAGACATCTAACATAGGTGCAAACTGGGGAGCAAACCCAAACTACAGAAACATTTCCTGTGTTTCTATGCGTTCTGTTATTTGAGATCATATAGTCAACAAAAATATTTCAAATGAAACCGCTTTTAAGGGTGTTTTTTTTTTTTTTTTTTTTTTTTCTTTTTTTCCCCCCCCTAAACCTTATTAAATTTCCTTCTCCCTCTCCCCATGCAATACAGACTGCTGCTAACCTAAATGTGACTGTGGATATTGAGGTAATAACAATAGATATTATACTTTTTACATTAGATTATATTCATTATACCATGTCTCTTCATCTGAAGCCTTAAGCATGTGAAAATGATTACGTGTGTGTCCATGACAAAGGTAATAGATTAGCATTTAATTTAGTTTCTCAGTAGCAAACATTTATAATAAATGTTTCAAAGGGTGTAAATTAACGTGTAATTTCCCAATTTTCTTGAACTGTTCAGCGCTCAGTAATGAGCACACCTGTAGGAAAAGGTGGTGATCTCAACGTGACTGTTGATATTGAGGTATGTGATTGTTTTTATGTATTTTTAACACGCGTATATTTATTCTAAACAAAGACTAAATTATTTTTTTCCCTCCTCTTTCTGCAGCACTCCTCGCCACAGTCATATGCCATCACGCCAAAGGGTGGAGATAAACCTTTGATTTTGTCCAAAAATTCAGAAGACTATGGGATGGACCAAAACAGTGATGACTCTACTGATGACGAGTCTGCACCAAGGAAGCCTATTCCATCCTGGGCAGAAGGTATTTAATGATCTCTTAACTCTTCAGTATACCTGAATTGCTTATGTGTTACACGTTAATCCAGCTCAGTTATAATTGATTGTCTCAAATTGTTACGGTGGATTCATACTAAGCTCAAAATTCACCATGGAGTCCTACTACTGCTACTACACAGCTCCAGTCAAAGAAATATTGTAACCTCCATGAACTAACTCTAACTCTCCTCTATCTGGGTCACCAAGCCTGAATTTGTTTGCCTCAGGAAGACTGAGAATTTTTTTATTTATTTATTTTTTTTTTTTTTTTCTCCACCATGTCTGGCGTTTGGGGTTTTCTTTCTTTCCCCCCTAAATTTAGGCTGAAACTCTGAGCCTAAATTTAGGGAATTGCTGGTGAAATGAAATGGCCCAGCACCATGATGGTTTTTTTTTTTAAGACCCTGCTTTGAAAATCTGAGACAAGTTGAGGTGCCCGAGATTCACAGAATTTAGAAAGCCACTATTTTGTGATGTATATCAGGGCTCTAGAGTGCGACCAATTTGGTCGCAAATGTGACCAAATTTTTCAGTGGTGCGACTAAAAAAAAAAAAGAAAAAAGTATTTGGTTGCACCTGTGCGACCAACTGTTCGGGTAGCAAAAAAATAATAAAATTCTCCAACCTTCCCTGTGGTCAGCAACAGACACACATTATGCCCCTATCGTGGACTAAACCAATCAGAGATAGTAAGGGGCGGGACCTCTCTGATTGGCCGTGGTCCAGTTGAAAGTGCAGGTGGAAGAGAGAGGTGAGTAGCTTGAATAAAGCGATATCGATTCATTAAATCCTGAATCAACTTTTAAATATAACTGAGTTTTTTTTTCCCTGGCAAAACTATTTCAACAACAACCAAACAGCAAATGAGAGCAGGTACACGGATTCCACACAAAGACGTAACACAGACCCGACGCATCAGAATCAGCTTTGTCTTTCTCGGCTTTCTCGGCCGACGGCCCGCAGACGGACACGCTGTCGGAGCTCGGCGATTCTGCGTCGGGTCCGCTCTGTGTTTGCGCTGATTCTGAGCTGCAAAAGAAGCAGCAAACTGTGCTTCACATTTGATCAATGTCGTCATGAATTTTGCTTCTCTCTCGCTCTCTCTCTGTACTTTCAGTTTCCCGTCTCCAATCTGTTTTCTGTATTATTCATTCGCTTATTACCCACCAGTCTACCGTTGTTTACAGCGCTGTCGGCTGTGTGCCGGTACGCCTAACTTTTTAAAGTTACGCCCATGGCAAAAAGTTAGTCTACAGCCCTGTATATTGTTATTGGGATATGAGATTTTGGCCATACCTGCACATGTGCAATGTGAACATTTACAGTGGTTAAGATTGTATAGTTTGGCCACCAGAGGGCACTCTGTAACGTCCATGTTTTCATGTGTTCTGCACCCTGAACAGCCAGCTGGTCCAAGCATTTCATTCCCAGTTGGGCAGAGCACAAACGAATAAATACTAACCACAAAAACAAAACAAAAAAAACCAAACGTATTTGTTGGCACCAGTGGAGAGGAAGAAGTCTCTTCAATAGGGAGAGGCAGAAATCTGCTGAGATCTGTTGGACAACTGATTACTTGATCACAAATATAACTTCATGTCCTGACTGAACTTGAAATGTAATGGCTCCCTTGATATTAGCACACTTTAACTTGGGATGAAGAATCCTAGGTATGACACTACAGGAAACTTGAACCATGATAAGATATTTCAGACATTTGTATCACAGTTCTGGTCTCTACGTCACAATTTTACACCCCTACCAAACTGAGCTAAACCCACATGTGTTTGTGGATATTGCATGCTATTTAAAGCCCCTAAACAGACCTGTTTGTGTTCTCTCTCTCTCTCTCTTCCAGGTCCCAATCTGCAGCAGATAATAATGAAGCAATACTTCAACCCTCCTGATTTGGACTCTTTCTTTGGAGCAATCGAGTCACCACGACTAGAAAACATCTTTTACAAGAGCAAGCCCAGATATTTTAAACGTACCAGCTCTGCAGTGTGGCACTCGCCTCCAGCTGGAAAGTAACATCTGTACACTCATACAGATGTATTAAACTGCTGTATAGTTAAAATTCTGAAAATCTGTTTCAAATAAAGTCATTTGTTTTGTTTTTCTGAATATTCTTTTTAAATGTATGTTTGTGTTTCACATCTTTGTCTCAGTAGGTTTTTGTATCTGTGGTTTGTTTAGCTTTTAGAGATGTAATTGTTTTGTTTTGGCTTGTAAATTAAAAGCAGGTTAACTGAATAACAACGGTGATGGTTGATTTTGCTGGACAGTAAAGAAGAATCTCTTTTATAATATTTATGGTTGTTTTCTTCAATCTGGTATGTCAAACTTTCTCTATTAGAGGTATGTGCTGTAAAAGGATTTTGTCACTCAGCAGTTGTCATGACTTTTAGTTCAAAATGCAGCACTGTGTTGAAAGCTGGTTGTAAAGCTTAAAGCTCAGGGAAATCCTCTGCTAAGAAGTCTGCTGTGTGTTCCAGAATAGCTACTTAATAGTTTTGGCACCACGGCTGGGGAAAATTTTAAATTTGGTGCGTTTATTTCACTAAAGTAAGGTTTAGCTTGACTTAAGTTACATCGATCTAGATCACACATGCAGCCTCTCAGTTATAGACTTTGTAATTGGTTTAAAATCTGGGTTTTTAATTTCGTTTAGTTTCAGGCTACAACCGAGAATTCTCTGCATTTATTATTATAAAGTTCAGATGCTCTTTATTCGGGTTTACTGATCCCTAAAATGGGTGTCAGACAGGTCTTGAGCCCAGTATTGGACCCACTGGACAGCTTTGGTAAATGTAAAGGAAGGCCTACATTTTGGACTTTTTGTCTTTGTAGCTCCTGATAAAGAACAGTAGCTATAAACTTGAATGCTTTTAAATGTTTATTTCTTAGAATTTAAGCCTAAAGAGTCATGCTGACAGATTTCATTTATTTACTACAAAAGCAATTTTCTTCATCGCGTAGAAAAAACAGACGTCCTGTTGCAATTGCATTTCTTTTTCTTATATTAACATTACAAGAATGAACTGTAAATAAATGTTTTTATCCTGAGAGAGAGCGGGGAGATTCTGTAAAATTAGACTGACATCTCTGTCAGACAGCATAATAAAAGAAATCGAAATTAAAAGGCGGCATTAAATATGTACCAGTTTCCATTGTAGTGTTTTACCTTTGGTCTACGGAATACGCAATGCATGAAAGACAAGACAGGTCCCAAGATCTACAAGATTTACTTGTTTTTGTTATGAATATTTTCATAGTTTGAATCTTCAGTGTTTAATTTTTGGGGAATGTGTCAGTCTTTAATTTAAACATAAAAAAAAACAATGCACAATGATTAAACATAATTTCAGACTAATGCAGCCGCTGGCACACTGGTTTGTGTGCTGTCCACATAGCCACAAAAGCTTTTAATTTTAACGTGTCCATTCCGCACCTTTAACGGCTAACGTCAACAGCGTTGCAGTCACCTAAGTGCGTTTGCGCGTCGGCAAAACGGCGAGTTAAGTCCTTAGTTGGAAATTTAATGTCGCAAGCAAGCGCAACTATCAGCGATAAGTTTAGCGAAACGTGTGAAATCGTCGAAGAAGGTTGGTTTATATAACCGCTTCCTCCGCAGCTGGGTTTAAATGTGCAACCTGTCCTGTTGTTTGTGAGATCAGCTGACTAAGATTTGGTTGCTAGCAGCGATTAGCTGCGCTGAATATATTTGGCAACGCAACTGTTGTTCAGTTAGCGTGGGCTTCGATGCCTGCAAGGTGCACGAAGCTTAAATTTTGATATAATTTAGCCACCAAGTTGGCCTTATTCATGCCACTGCCATAACCTAACGTTCCTCGTAGCTGTTAAGCCAGCCTCCGCTTGGGTCACGCAAGCAACCAGCGTTGTTTTTCATGTATTTATACTAAGCATTACGGTAGTGTAAGAAATACCTTAACGATAAAAGCGCTTCTGGGGAATTGGAATATATATATACTCCCTTCAAACTTAGTGACTTGCGTGTAACGAGATCGATTAAGAGTTTTAATATTTCAATTCAACACCAGACTGTTATTGTGCGGGAGACACCGAGAGGCAGCTTTTATGTTAAAAGCAGCACTTACCGTAATGCTTAGTATACGCAGGTACACCACGGCCAACAAGAACAACAAATAAAACAACGCGGGTGGTAGCCCGTTATTTGGCAGTAGCTGCAGGCTTGAACGCTGTGGTTTCTTTGCGTGTGCAGGTAAACAATGTTTGTGTCTCGTCTTATCACAAGTTCAGTGTCACGAAACACGGATTCTGTATTAACTAGGTGCAAATTTAAGACAGAAGTTGTCTGCTACTTTACTATTAACTTTGACCAACAGCTGCTCTGGTGTTTGCCTTTTTTAGTCCCAAGGTCATTTGTCTGGATTAATGTGAATACAGATGACGTTGTAGTGTCCACTCGATTATTTATATGTAGGGACATTTTTCAGATGTTTTAAAAGTAGTTGTGTTTAGTTTGATGCAGGCAAACAAACACGTGAAGTGTAAATTCTCAGTGTCTCAGTATTGATGGCTAGATACTTTTTTAAAATGCAACATACTGCAATTAACTGCCTGAATAATCTGCTTCTCCAGTTATGAACAGCCTTACATTTGATCAGCATTTAGTTATTGTTATGATCTTTCCAGAAATGACTTCTCAGATCCGTCAAAACTTCCACCATGACTGCGAGGCTGCCATTAATAGACAGATAAACCTGGAGCTGTATGCCTCTTATGTTTATCTCTCTATGGTAAGAAATGTTTCTGAGTCAGTGGTGTTATGTATCACAGCCCTGTGTTATTTCAAAGGCATTAAAAAGAGTGTTTTAATCTTTTTGTTTGTTTATTTTTGTTTACTCTCCTGACTTTTAGGCATATTATTTTGAAAGGGATGATAAATGCTTGCCAAATTTTGCAAAGTTTTTTCACAATCAGTCCAAAGAAGAGGTTGTGCATGCAGAGAAGCTGATGACCTTCCAGAACAAGCGGGGAGGCAAAATATTTCTGCAAGACATCAGGGTATGTAAGGATATTTTCGCTAATGAGTTAAAAAAAAAAAAAGCCAAATTCATGTCTTTTTATATTAAAAAACAAAACAGTCTTTTTATTCATCAAGGCTTTACAATGTTTTTTAATTATAAAAATGGATGGACTGCAGTGCTTCAGGTTGCTTTAATATGAATAATTTTACATGAATCTGATCGGTGCTGAATCTTCTTGAAATATTAATGCGTTAGAAACCGGATAGAGATGAGTGGGGGAGTGGCGTGGAGGCCTTGGAGTGTGCCCTGCAGCTGGAGAAAAATGTAAACCAATCCCTGCTGGACCTGCAGAAAATGGCCACTGAACACAATGACCCTCATGTAAGAAGCAGGCGTGGAGGATGTACAGTCTCCGCTGTTCGGATATGACTATCTAGTAAGATGCAGCATATTGTCTTTTTCCGTCCCCCGCAGATGTGCGACTTCATAGAAACACATTTTCTGGACGAGCAGGTAAAATCCATCAAACAGCTCGCCGACTGGACCTCAAACCTACGCCGGATGGGAGCCCCTCAGAGCGGCATGGCTGAGTACCTCTTTGAGAAACACACCATGGCTGAAGAGGGCAGTTAAATTGAGGCACATGTGATCATGGGTAATTCTGCTGCATGTCTGCCAAATACAGTATATACTGCATATGTTCTAAAAGAATGCTGCTTTATTTGTGTTCATTAGCTGTTAGCAGAGGCTGTAGCGCAGACTGGAGTTGTGTAACCCTCACCTCATACTACGTGTAGTGTGTAAAAAAAAAAAAAAAGACTAAGCAGGCCTTTAAATCATGCTAGTTATGCATTCAGGTTTCCTTACATGTCAGGTTTAGGAAGATTGGACCGTGGCACTGAAACGTTTTAGGCTGCAATAATTTAAATTACATGCATTGAAAAATTGTTAATCAACCTTTTTTGTTTGAGAATTTAAAAAGCAAAGAGAAATTCTGCTTTGTTATCTGTTATACCAGTGGTGTTTAAAATTTTGTGACTGTAAAGTAAGGTAAAGGCACTTTGGACAGAGTTGGACCTACCATGTGTGTCATCACTTCATTAGCTCTTATTTAGCACTTAAGTCCAACCATCTTGGTGCATTTTTTGGCTTTTCAAGCTCCTCTTCAGGTAGTGTGGCACCATGTTGGCATTAAGCTACACCTCCCAAAAATTACACACTCAGGCTGAGGTATTTTGTCCAGCTGAAGCCCCAGGCTTCTGTGTACTGATAAAGCTACCACGGTATTATTCGCAATAAGGTTTTTCTGGCCTATTCAGTTATTTTATTCTTTTTCTTTTTTTCACAGAATATTTCTCATAGTTTAACCACCATCCACACATAAAAGCCAAGAACCATGTTTATAGACCACTCCAATATATTCTTGTTACAATATGTAACAATACTAAAACACTGGTTAATTTAATTATATTTATTATTTTATAGCGTGTGTGTGTGTGTGTGTGTGTGTTGTTTTCCATTTGTCTTTATTTTAAGAAACCTTTGGTTACTAGCACAACTCTAGTTCTCTGAAACCTGAGCTCTGTATCTCACTGTGAGACGCCTTCTGCTTTGTCCAATCAATGAAACTCCACTTTCACTACATCTGACTTAAACAGACGAGCCACCTCAAGAGCATGATGTAGGGCAGTGCGATGAGATAGCTCAGAAAGCTGAAATTGCAGCTAAATGCACTTTTAATGGTGGAAAAAGCCACTTGCCCATCTATCAAATCCTGAAGGAAGCATACTTGAAACAGAACACTGATAGTTCAGAGCTAAGAATACAATTCCCTATCTCTCAAATATACACCATTTTTTAACATGCCAGGTCCATTGGAGCAGACAAGCTAGCTCTACCATCCATAATTATGAATAACATTGTACATTTTTGTCATTTTTTTAATGTCTCATAAAATCTTTCAGCTTGTTTTATTTTTGACAGTTAAATAAACATTAACATGCATAAGCAGTGAGACCTGTGAAAATGTTTTCTCATTGTATTTTATTTGGACTGATTGCTTCCTTCTGCAGATGTTAAGTCAAATTGTAGATTCAGTATGCTTGTAAAATAAAACAATAAAGTTGTAATGTACAAATAAATTAAAGTTTTTCATTTTATTTGGAAAAAAACTTTAATAGTGTCAAAAGAAGAATAATATATAATATTTATTAATAAAGACACTGATGCAAAGACTACCACAGATGAAGAATATACACATTTTGGCTGCCACTGATGAAACTGGAAAGTATTTTTCC